TTGGGTGTTTCTCCGCTCGGGGTTACCCAGCAATGCACAAATCGCACCCCCCGCCCAGCTCCTCATCCCAGCGCCGAGCAGTATCAAAGCCCGCCGGAGACCGGGTGTCTGAATGGGACCAGCAGCTCCGAGCCCGGCAGTCCGGCGGGACTTGCCCTCTGCACCCGGCGGGCTCTGAGGAATGTGCGGGGATGTCTGTAAACTAACAACAAAGCCGCCCGCTGCTCTGATCGCTGCCGGCCGGTGGGGGGGGAGCCCCCTCATAGCCTTTGTCTCGTGAGCACAATATCTACACGTGCATGGGGAACACCCCTCTCCCCTTTCCAGTTTGTTTGTTTGGGTTTCCAGTCCCTCCGTGGATGTGCTTCCTCTGCTGCTTCCCAGCTGGGTCATCAGCTGGCTGAGTCTGTGATCTCACTGCCTGCAAGTGCTCCCTCCCCGCTAGCCCGTTACCCAGAGCTGCAAGCCTCCAGGCATCTGCTGGCCAAGAGCCCTTTCAGGGGGAGGGCTAAAGCTCCAGGGACTGAGGCTGCCAGATCGTGCTGCTGCTTTGCACCGGGACCCTCTTCCATCACCAGTTCTCTGGGCCGGGCCTCCTTGCTTATAAATAGGGTATGAAATCCTTTGGAATGAAAAATGCACACTCCAGCCTGGTGAAATTCTTCTCCCGTGCTGCTTTATTGGGGGGTTGAAACTGTAACCTGGAACAAAGAAGGCAGGCTTGTTTACTTCTATTTTGTTGCTCAGAATGGCAGTGGGGGTGGGGTCGATGCTGAGCACTGGTCCCTTTGTCACTGCAGAAAAAGCTTAGGGGTCTCCCTCTGTTGTCTGGGCCAAAAACACTCAGATGCCTCCCGTCCTGCCTTTGCTGTGTTCAGGGGCAGGCAGAATGTTTTCCAAGTTTCTGGGAGGAAAGAGGAAGTATTTAAGACAGTGGAACTCAAATACAATCAGCCCTTCCCAAATTGTCTTGAGGGGGGCGGTGCTGGCCAAAAGGCAAAAGCTACCCTCATTCTTGGACTCCCCTCTGCATTTGGCACATGTCCGGCAGTGCCTGCTCTAGAAAATTCACATCCTTTTTCTTTCAGCTGCTCTAGTGCTAGCAACAGCACAAGTGCTAGGATAGACTGGATCCAGCATCTTCAACGGTGTCACAGCCCCCTAAGCGCCACCTGCGCTGGCGCCTGCACCATGGCTAGGGATGCATCTTGACACTGGAGCCTTTTCCATGGCTGAGAAGCAGCCGTGGGTGACAGGTTCTGTGGGTCCTACATCCCACTCTCTTCCTACTCCTCTTTTCCCTGTATTCTCTCCTCCTGCTGCAAAGGCCCCTGCTTGAGAGAAGTGAGAACTTTAGTTCCTTCCAGTTAAACTGGGATTTAAAGCTTTTGGATCTTTCAGAAATCCCCTGTAATTTAGCAAAAGAGGGATAGATTCAAGCTGGCCAGGTATTTCATTTGGCAAGCGCGTTCTCCTCTCCAGTCCGTCTGTCTGGTCTAAGTAAAGATCACTGCCCTGGGGCTGAGCATAGGCCACTAAGGTCAGGCCTGGGTTTCTGAAAGCATGCTGCACTAGGCTGGAACCTCTGCTTACAGTCACCAGTTGGCTGCTAGCCTGGCTCCAAGCAGTTTCAGTCCAACACCCAGCGATGGCTGCAGCTCGGCAAACAATTGGGCATCAAATAATGCACAAGTGCGAGGCCCCAAGTCAAGGTGCAGCTCTGATGTGGGCCTTGCTGCACTGTAGAACTGACCGTCTGTTAGCCCTGATTACTGGGACTCATTTGTCCTGGTGCGTGGATGGGATCCAGCTGAGACTCGGAGACTAAGGCCAGAAGGGACCATGTAGTCTGACCCAGCCCTGTGGCACTGGAGTCCCTGAGGACCGTCCACACCATGAATCTGATGGGGTTTAAGCCTGCACTCAAGTTTAGCTCTGCCTGTGTAGGTTATAGCCACGTGTGGGGCAAACAAAAGGGACTGAGGGGGAGATATGTCCAAGTCTCCTGGGTCCCCATTCCATGATCAAACCACAGAACCATGCTGTTGCCTCCATCAGTTCTCCCTCTACTTTCCAGTGGAGATGGGATGAGCCTTCGGCTTGGTCTGCCTTTAAAAGTGATATCGACATAGCTATAATGGTCAGAGATGTGAATAA